CCAAAAAGTAAGCGGAAAGAGCTATTGTTTTAATACTTAAGTTGGAAAATCTTTACTTTTAGTGATCGATTAAGACGTAAGACTCTTACAGTAAAAAAGTTGGATGTAGAAAAGTCAGAATCAATATAGAATTTTTTTATTTTAAAGCAAATTCAGATTGAACATAGTTAAAAAAAATGTAAATGATTGTGTCCGTCCAAAAAAAAACATTACTTACAGTATAGTGAAAACGACCCTTGAATGATGGGATACTAGACTAAAAGCTTGTTACGCTCTGAAAACTGAAAACTGAAACCTAGGCTTAGGCCATAAATATGAAGATGGATTATCAGTAATAATTTCAAAGTGACAGACACATTGGATTAACCTATGGATTAACCTTCAGCAGCGTTTTTATCGTTTTAATGCCATTGAACACAACTTTTGATCAGAACAACAGCAAAGGTAAGACATATTGCCATTTTGGCTACCTAAAGCTACGTTGTGTGGTGTCTTGATTTGCTTTTGCTGCGGTGAGTTTTGATCGCACAGTGATGATACTTATACCTATAGAATCTGTGGAATCTCAGCTTTAATCTGATATCTTGTTTGTGCAGATCCGATAAATTCAGAGGCTTGGTTTTAGAGTTGTGTTTTGTTTCGGTAAAAATGGTTCATATCGTCAGTTAGCAGAGTTTCTTCCCGTTAAGTGGGCATGACACATTATTAGGTTGTTAAATGTTAAGAAGCCAAAAAGCAGACTACGATCCCCTTAAGATGGAGATATATGATAACTTTTTATAGAATTTCTGATTATTCAGCTTGTGTGTTTCGTAGTGATTACCTGAATATCCAAGTCTGTCCTGCTGAGATGTTGACCAGGAAGCCCCACTAGTTTCAACACGCATTACGCTGGCGTAACCTGGTAATGACACGCTTATTAGATCAGTTTTCATTCACATAAGCATTGTTGGAGGAAGAGTTTAAAAGCTTTTACTTAAGTTATAGTACTAATATTACACAGTATAAATTCATTCTTACATTTAAAATGTTAAATTATAAGTACAAAAAGCTAAATCTACTCAAAGTATTACAAGACATTTTTTTTTCAAAAGCAAGATTAAAACTCGATAATCATTCAAAAATAAACAAGACAATTATTTTATTGTTAAAGATGGAAAATCATTTCCTGTCTGTTTATAATATATAATGTTATGATGTTTAAATAAAACATCAAAACAATATATTGTAAACAACAATCTAAATGTCTAAAGTAACTAGAGCTGTTAGTAGTCGAGTACAAATTTCAATATTTCTTTTGAATTGCAGCGACGTAAAAGTCCATAAGTAAAGGAAATACTCAAATAAAGTACAATTACCTCACATTTGTACTCATATGCAAGTTAACTGCATTCCACCACTGGACACATTCACTTGAGGGGACTTTTCAGCGGTATGGGAATATAATACATTTACTCCAGTATTTAAATAGAATTTTGAGGTAATTACTTTGCTATTTTATACTTTACAGGTTCAGAATATGAGCTAATACTAAATATACATGAAGTACTAAGTCACAATTTACATATGATTATAATGAAGTTATCCAACAATCATAATCCAGTTCTTTATAACTCTATAAGTAAATATCTAGAACCACTTCCTTTGCATAGTAAGTACAATATACGAAGTACAAATGAAACAATTATAAAAGACAGGTGCAGTCGAGGTCTGTGTTACTATATTACACTTTTTGAATGAAGTTGTACAGAAAAGTATATATTAGCACTCACCCATTTTGCTTGTTATCTCTTCTGATGGTTTCCTTGAAATTGGAAAGTGAGTGAAGAACACTGAGCTCCCTCTGAGCTTTTATTCAAGCTCACAGAAAGTGAAAGCAAAGCAGCCAATCACACGAGAGCAGCTGATTTACAAGAAACAGTCCACAGTGACTGTAACAAGGGCAGGGAAAGACATAGTGCTGCCCATTATGTAGTTGATTGGAGCATGCTGTGAACCAGGTATACAGGAAATGTAATTTTCAGAAAGCATGCTGCATGAATCATACATATTCCAAGAGGAAAGTCCCAATAATTTGAGGAATTTAGAGAATTGCAAGTTCAATATTTACTCCTTGCTGTGTCTCACCTAGAGATACTGCAGGTCCTTCCTTCCTGCAGTGGTCATACTTTAATGAGCACCATGGCACCTGGTAGACCACCACACAATACAGACTGTTACAATGTTTTAATATAAATAAGTATCTGAATCTGAATCAGAAACTGGTTTATTGCCAAGTAGGTTAACACATATGAGGAATTTGCCATGGTGTATTTGGTGCATACATAAACACAGTTAAAGAAGATACATTGTAAGAAAAGGACCATCAAATAAAACAATGATAAAACTATGTTAAGAAAACTAAAATAACATTAAAATATAGCAATATTTACATTGAATATGGATGAAATATAGATATACCCGTGTGCAGTTACAATGGGCCAAATTCGAAGGGTTGGGCAGTACTGACTGTGATAAGATGAACGAGATAAAATAAGCCTATTCTGAGGTTACATAAATAGTGCAATAATGACTGTTATGTGCAAAACATACATTTTTAACATTCACCTTTATATGTTTACGTAGCTTTGAAATGCTGGTACTAATGTCCAAACATGTATGTGTACTTAGTTGTCTGTATTTGTATTTCTACTAACATGTGCTTCTCTATATTGAATATGTTAGCTTACTCTTTTATCTGCAATATCACTTTTGCTGTAATGCTGTAAAAATGCCCTGTGATTAAAATGTGATTTCTGATTTCGGGTTTTTGACTAACTCTTTTTTGTTATTTCAAACATTAATAACATTTGACTATTTGTTAAGCCAACATAAGTCTCACAAGACACACAATGCAAAAAAATGTTAGGCTGTAAAAGAACCTCACAAGCCATAACACCAAAGAACTTAAAGGAGTTATACAGTAGTCATAAAGTTGAGATGAGACACAGCTGTTTTCAGTTTCAGTTTTAGCTGGCTGATAAAAACGTCTATGAGTTGTTGCTTGGACTTTGAGACAAGAAACCGAAACCCTGTTTTAATATGCTAAAAATAAAATGTGCGTTATGCTAACTAAAGTCTTTTATCAGGTGAAACTCTTGAGATAAAAACTGTCATAATCTGCAAAGTGTAACCTAAAAATGTGGGTTTAGAGGAACCAAACACTACTCACAGGAAACAGTGTTTAGCCAGAACAACAAGAGGTAAAACATACTATTAAATAAAACTGGACCAAAGAAGAAATTCAAGACAATATTGCACATTTTTCCAGGAATGAAACGAGGCTTATTTTGTCATTATTCAATACGAGTCAGACTCATGAGCTGCATATGAAACGCCTCAGACTTTGACACGGTCACTGCAGCATACTCCGAACACACAATCTTTATTGCTTGGATGTATAGAACCATTCATTATTGAATAGTAAGAACACTTCTAAACAGGGTCAACACACTTTATTATCAGTTTCACTATATAGAACAAAGTTATGTAAGGGTTTGGGACTCCTGACCTCAGGAGACGCCTCTGTAATCACCGTTACTTTCCATGAGCTGCAGTCAGTTCTTCCTACCTGGCACTTGGATCTTGTTCCATTCTTTTTGTTCCATCATGTTTGGATTTTAATGAAAGGTGAAACTAAACAACTACAATAAGACGCACTGCATTAATACAATTATTCAAGAAGAATATCAAATGACTCTAAACGATTACAAACAGACTAAAATAAGATTGAAGAGATGAAGAAATGGCCGCAAAGATATTCAAAAAGACGAAATCCACCCCTCATTTCCGTGTAAAATCACCTTTTACAAGTCTGTTTCCAGGGGCCCATTATCCCATAATCCATTCATAAGCATAAGGACCTGAATGTTATTTAAGTCAGCAGGAGCTACATAATTACTTGAAACAGATGTCAGTATATTTTAGAGATATTATTATGAGCCTTATTCGATAACCATTAGGCAACAAGGCTGTGTCAGGTCGAAGAATACATGTTCAAAATTAAGTAATTGGTCATATGATTAGGGTGACATAAGAAACAGCTTTAGATAAACAATTTTGTTTCATTTTCAGTTTTAGCTGGCTGTTTGTGAAATATGACCTGTTGCTTGGACTAAAGTAAGACTTATCAGTCTATACGGCGCTGCTTCTGTCTACTTGTATCCGAAATGCTTCTCGTTTTGCGCTGTCCTCCCGTTCAAATGAAATCGCCGCCAATCATATTTCCAAGCACGCGCCAGGGGGGGGGAGGGGTTACAAGGCTCGCGTCTTGTGCTGCATTCACTTGCACTCGGACATTAGAGATTTTCTCTCATAAATGTCCGATGAGCCACAACTTTTCTTTCAAAACAAAGCTGCCAACTGGGGTGGCAGCTGGGGTGGCAAGGCATTTTTCTGAGGTGGCAGCTGCCACCCCGTAGAACCGCCACGTAATATCTCTTCTTTTTAAGAGGGAAGGGGGAGGGTCAGAGGGCCTAGGTATAAAAGTCACGGCTCGCCACTGCTAGTGAGATACATTTAAATTCAACTAGTGAACTAGTGAGGCTTAAAATGTTCACTAGTAGTACTAGTGGGTCCCAAATGTGCACTAGTCACACTAGTCGCACAGAATGCTAATGAGGAGGAGGGGAAATAATGCATCGAGGTCTCCTATTGGCCATAAGCTATAGAGCGCCACCCAGCCCAAATAGCTTCTTTAAGAGCTTAAATACACTGTGTTTTAAAATACAGTCATATGACCATATACACAAATATCAAAAAAGTATTTTTGTAATTATGATCATATGACTGTTTATCAAATTAGGTAAGAACATTGAAGATTTTGTTGAAATTAGAAAGTTGCTTAAATAAAAATATGTAATAAATCTAAATCCAGGAAGAAGAAAACTCTGGACTCCCCAAATGAAGCGAATGACCCTGTGCACAGTGTGAAGGTTAGAGAATCATGAAAGATGGTTTATTAAACGTATAACACATTTTTAGATCAAATCTAACAGAAAGCCTGTTTTAAATTGAGTCATCAGCAGCACAGACTGAAGACTCTGAGCAACAGGAAGAGCTAATGTGAAGCATCACATTTTATACCATGCACTGTTTAACTTTATTGTAAACATTTCAAAGACACCTCACCAGATGGCACACTTTAGATGTTGCAGTGGCTGATTGGAAGAAACCGAGAGCTTCCCTAATAACTTTTGTTAGTTCGAACATCATTTCAGTCCCCTCTCACTCCTGCAGGAGGCGCCACTGTGCAGAAAGACAAAATGTTTCTGAACAGGTAAATATATTTGGCAAGCAGAAAACACTGAGAGTGAACAACACAGCTTTCACAGGTTGGAGAGGAAAGAGCAGAATAGGTGTTAGGAGATGGAGACAAATCATCTTCAGAGTCACAGTATGACTCGACAACGTTGTACAGTGCACGGAGTTAGCTGAATACTAATCTTGCCATGAGACTAATATTTGAAAGCTTTTATATTGTCCATAATAGTAATTTGATGCAACCTAGGTCTGGTCTGCACTGTAAGCCATTGACTCACTGTGCGTTTGCATATTTTCATTTGAGTTTTTATATAAAAACATTGAATATGTGAATATTTATATTTCTGTCGCCCTTGGCTGAATGTGTCGTCTGTATGAATTATGATGCTATCAGTACTAACACTCTATAGAATAAAGCATCTTAAATCATCCACGTGATGTTTTAACACTCTGTAAATCATCTTTAAAATAATATATATTTATAAATAAATTGCAAATTGATGTGCTGATGATCAGTTATTTCTTCCCCCACATGCAGTTCCTTAAAATCAGAACCTGAATCCTTCAATGTTGAATAATTACCCATCTCTATTACTCCCTTCATATTATGAAGCTGATTTAAAAAAAGTCAATAACTTTTGAGCATAAATGACATTTTATACATGTAATAATCTGGCTTCAGACTCGTCATGGTTCTGAAGTGAAGACTCCTGTGAAACTAGCACATCATTATTTGCTATTTATTACATCTGTGTTTAACTCATGCCTAAACCCTGCACCTTGTACGTGTATACAGTACATGTACATCTAAATCTGCACCCAATTATCCAAAGTTACTTAATTATATTTAAACATTTATATACATTACTTCAACACTGTTATGTGAATTTACTGTAACCTCATTCACTGAATGCATACATTTTGTTGTACTCATGTGCAATGACATTAAAGTTGAATCTAATCTAATCTAATTATCTGTAAGTGGACGGCATCTTCACATTCAGTGAGGCACCAGGAGTTCGTTATTTCCCAATTATTAAAATATAGGATTTCTCACACATCATTACAAAGGTTTGACTGTAGAGGGCAGGGGAACATCTTTGAAAAATATATTTTGAATATAGTTTCTCATGTGCTCTGTGTTTGTGAAAAAGGACCCAAAGTGATAAATTATGGTTCTGTTGGCAATGTTGAGCTGTCAATCACCCGTTTTCATACTGTATAAGTTTACAAGTTAATGCATTGTTTGCAAAACCAAAGAGTTCTTCATTTTAACTATGTTTACCGTCTCTTGTATCTTGTAACTGTTAAGAGGAAGGAAGCAGTTTTCAACACGTTGATATATTTTTAACACAGCTGCACGAGTTACAGAGAAAACCCCCTACTTGATGTACAAACGTTTTTGGTGACTCACTGACAAACAGTATTTCTCCTGTATGTGATCTACCTGATGGTTTATCAGAGACGTGAGGAGCAGCTATGAGTCTACCAGCAGCAGCGAGAGGATTTCTCGTCTTCCTTCTCGTTGTACAAGG